CCGCTCCGGTCATGAACTTTCGGCCTCGGCCAAGGGGGGTTGGGGAGGGGGTTTTGGGGTTGCAAGGCGTCGTCAAATTAGAGGGGTTGGGAGGCCTCCTAGAGAGGACTCCGGGTCGACGCTTCGGAGCAGGAAAGAGGACAGTCTCCATGGGGAGGGCACAACGGCGCCAGCATGAGCCCGATCCTGAACATGTGCAGGAGACGTTCAAGGGTCGCTCCCCTGTGTATCGACACCATGTCGTTGGCCAAAAGGTCAACAACAAGGGGGTGATGATATTGCGTTGCACATTTTGCAACAAAGTGTTCCAGGGGACTCAGTACCAGGCCACGAGACACTTCGTCCACACTAACTAATGCAAGGACGCCAACGACGAGGCATTATACGAGATCGTAAGACGGATTCAACAGAAGTTCGAGTCTGATCAGATGGAGAGGATTGGCAGGTACGCAGCGGAGCGTGTACTAGATATGCCCCGGGCAGGTGGTGCAAGGGGAGGAGAGGCGGGGCAACGTGCGGTGGAGGGAGAGGGAAGGGGAGATGGTGGGTAGGGTCCATCCGACCACACATTGGGGGGTGGAGGTGGTGACATGGAGGAGGACATGATCCACATCGATCACGAGGGATGTGGCCCGGGCGAGGAGGGATTCCCGGGACAAGAGGACGTGCCAGAGTTCCATCCAAGCACTGGGGACAGGATGGTGGACTGGCTGCGGCGAGCAGGCAAGGGACAGGTGCTTGCAACGGAGGGTCTGAGGGAGGAGGGTCCTTCAAAGAGGAAGGATGGAGGAGCTGATCCGGCTGCCACCCGAGATGGAAATAGGCTTCGCCAGCAGAAGGTGACTGAGGTCTACGGTGGCGAGTGGGTTGCTTGCCACAAGAACGCCTTCCTTAGCTGGCTTTATTCCAGCGGGGTCTCCTTCAATGCCTTTCGCAACGAGGCATGGAAGGCATATCAACAGGTGCTTCTTGAGCAGCCTGGCAGTTCGCGGCGCGCTGTGCTCCCCAGCCATGGCGAGATTGCGAGCATACAGGCGGTGGAGACCCACCGTGCGGAGTTGGCGGAGGAATTGGAGGAGGTGAGGCAGCCATTCTGGATGACTGGTGCCACCATCCTCTCAGATGGGAGGAAATCACGAGACAGGAGACCGATCGTGAATTTCCTTGCCGCAAGCTCGTGAGGGGTTGTCATGTGCATGACGATCAATCGAGAGGGGGAGCCGGATGATGTAAAGCACATCCTTCGGAGATGGGTCACCATCTTCCACGAGTTCAGGTTCGGTGGGCCGCAGCGGGTCAATGCGATATGCACAGACTCCGTTTCAGCGTACGTGGGGGCTGCAAGGGCAATGGCCTCGCCGACCATGCCTCTTGCACTGAGGAGGATCACTTGGCTCTCATGCTCCGTCCATGTCTGCAACAAATTGTTGCTCGACATGGGGACGAGTTGTGACACGTTGGTGGACACGATCACACGCGCTCGTGTGCTGGTGGTGTTTTTCAAAACCCACTAGGCCGCCCTTCATTTTTTTAGGAAGCGCAGCCCCAACAAGGTGCTTGTTCTTTCTTGCGGGACGAGATTTGCGTCGGTTTACTCCATGCTGGAGAGGCTGCTGACTCTGCATGACACTTTGCAGGGCATGATGCGAGGAGACGACTCGCGGGCTTTTGCTTCCATCCCGTGGTCCGCCGATGTGTGCATCATGGCGCGTTGGGTGCGCCGACAGATCAGATGGGATCCTTGGTGGCAGAGGGTGACCACCATCGTCCATATCATGGAGCTCGTCATGCAGTTGCTTAGGCGGATGGATCGTGGAGGGCAGTTCATATCGCTCACGGTCGAGTGGGCACATGATTTTGTCCACCGTGTGAAGGACGCATGCGCTCCTTTGGGTCAGTCCTTCGCGGACTGGATCATCAGGCGTGTGCAGACCCGCACACATCACATGCTTGAGCCAGCTCACTGCGCCGGGTTCTTACTAAGCCCCCGTAGGCGACATGTTCGCTACTTTTCAGGCGAGGTAGAGGGTTACCATGCTTGGCTTGCCTCACAAGCCAAGAGGTACATTCTGACGCAGACGGGTTTCGAGTTAGACGGTGTGGATTACATCGTTGCCTATCGGCAAGTTGAGGACTTCCGTATGCAGCAGGGTAGGTTTGGTGATTGGGGCGGGGCGGAGGGGCGTGCTCGTGGGCGCGCGTGTAGCGGTGACGCCAAAACGATCGAGTGCGCGTCTTGGTGGTCCCAGTACGGGGCTGGCGAGTTGCAGCGGTGCGCTCTTCGTGTGATGCATATGTGGTCCTGCGCCTCTCCAGCGAAGAGGAACTGGGCAGTCCACGAGGGCATCCACACGCAACCAGTTGGCTTTCGAGAAGGTCCTGCAACTCGTTGAGATCATTGCAAATATGCGGTTGACGGAGTATCGACGGGCATGATGCGGTTATGTGTTGCCATGGCAGTGGGACGAGGGCATGCTCGACTGTTAGGCAGGACTCGAGGTGGAGTCGGTGCGCACGGGCATGCGCAAGGGGATGACACAGGAGGAGATTGCCCAACAGGTTGCACTTATTACGCGCGATCTCATCGGGGCTTCCGCACCACCCTCTGCTGATGCTGTTTTTGATAGACGTGCTTGCATTTTCCGTCCGTACCCCAGGGACGATGACTCAGATGAGGAGCGGGCACCCGAGGCAGCAGATGACCCTGCGCTCCCCATTCCTCCTGAGATCGATGAGACGCACGAGGATACCGACGACGAGGAAACGAGGACATACACCGCACGACAGGCGACAAATCGGGCTAAGAGGGAGATGATGGGGGGGGGCGAGGATTATTTGGGCCGTTTTGGGGAGGTGGCTTCCACAAGTGATGTGCGTGATGACAAAGTCGGGGGCTCTCATGTAGGCACCAGCCGTGCAGAGGTGGGGATAAGGACTCCTACTCCTACGAGGTGAGAGTGGTCCATTCCGCCACCCCCTGCTCCGAGTCCTGCACCACCATCGCCCGTCTCGCCACTTCAGCCGGCCACTGCAGCAGCGGAGACGGAGGAGTTGGCATCCTCCTTGCCTCAGCACGGACTTCTGCAGAGATCTACAGTGGTCCGCCAACTTAGGTTACGATCACCTTCCCCGGGGGTCTTGCAGGAGGAGGTTGGCCACCGTGCCACTCTGGCGGACAGGGGTGGGGCAGCTCGAGCGGAGGAGGAGGTCACGACAGCGACAATGGTGGAGGGGGAGGTAGCAGCAATGGAGGAGGAGGTACTAACAGTGGCGACGAGAGACGAGGAGGTGCCAGTTGGAGCAACAGTGGAGGGGGAGATACCAGTTGCAGTGGTGGGGAAGGAGGAGGTAGCGCTAGCGGCGGTGGTGTCAAAGGTTGATATGGAGCATGATGGTGCAGACGCCACTAGGGGCGGTGACGACGCCGAGGAGCACCTCATGCAGCAGTTTATCACAGAGGAGCTCGATCCCGTCGTGGGCGGTTTCATCCCGGGTGTGGCGAGGGGGCTCGGGATGTCTCCTTGGACAGGGTGGGGGGGTTCAGAGATGGGGACCCATTTCGACTTTGACATATCGATGGGCGCTCCCCCTACTTGCAGCGGGGCGGCATCGACAGATCGGGCGCCATCGAGGGACGAGGCAACAGGCGAGATGGGGTCGCAGACCCCGAGAGAGAGGACGGCGGCGGAGTCCCCAGATACGGCACGCGACATCATGGAGAGAGAGAGGGCTCGACTTATGGCATCCAACAACCCGCGTGCTTAGACGTTCTCACGGGCCTTGGAGGAGTGCAGGCATCGAGAGACAGGGAGAGATGGTGGGCAGGGTGGGGTGGTGGCGGGGCCGGACGTTATGGAGGGAGTGGAAGCAGAGGCGACGGATGAGGCTGTGGAGGGTAGGCCACAGGTGGTGGATGAGGCTGTAGAGGGTGGACATGGGCGAGACGGGGGGGCTGGCGACGCACGGCCCGTAGATCACGAGATAGTGACGGGTCCAGTTGTCCTGTTCTCGGGCCTGCACTTGGCCGAGGCCCGACGGTCGCAGCCGACTGAGCTGGCAGTGCATGATGTGCCTCTTGTTATTATCACAGATTTGGGGTCTGAGTCGATGGTTGTGCCTCCACGTCCACGGCGACCGGCTAAGCAGGAGGCCGATTGTCCATGAATGCAGAGGAGTTGGCAACTGCCCCTATGCGTGATGTGACTCGACTGGACCGACGGATATGTAACCCGAAACTCACCCATCCCCCATGGCAGACGATCCCTTCTGTTCCATGGTGTCTTGGATCGCCGGTGTGGCTCGGGTGCACCTCCAACGGAGGACATAGTAGGGCAGATGTTGTAGGGGTTTCGGGGGGCCTGCAGGAGAGCGCCACATACAAGAGACATGCCACCCCCTCCTCCTGGACCACGTGTGGGCGATCCATCGTCGTCGCCCACAGGCCGAGGCTCTCGATCCCCACACACGCGCGGGAGATGGAGGATTCGTGACACGACAGCGGTTGAGTGGGATGTGTGCGACACGACGTTATTCGGGAGGACAGACGTAGATTTGGATTCCACCCGCCGTGTCACTGAGCTCACCGCACGCCTTCAGCCGAGTTTGGGAACTCGCGGCGCCAGGACGACCGGAGCGAGGGAGGTTGCAGCAACGGGTTGTGAGCCTCAGCGAGGTCGCGGCGACGGAGTGTCCACCTCGACCTTGGACCACGCTTTGAGAGCAGCGACACGTGCTGTGCATGAACAGACTCCACGCCAGCGTGGAGTGCCTCATCCACGCCTCGTGCCTACAGAGGGAGGCACTGCACTTGGAGACTCTTCGGGGGCGAAGCGGTTGGGGACGCCTCGTGGATCCCGTCGTCAGGACACGGTCGCACAGGCTAGCACGAGGGTTGTTCTGGTGAGGAAGGGAGGCGGCCTTGTCACCATCGAGGAGGATGATCCTGAGACGGCACCGACAGTGTGGGAGTAGGACGAGGGCTATGAGGGTGAGGAGGAGAGTGAGGAGGAGGAGAGCGAGAGCGGCGATAGTGGTGACGACGACGACGACGATGAACCCCCACCTCCCCCACCGATGCGGGCATCGAGACGCTCCGCTGCGCAGACGTCTTCATCCGCACGAGGGACGAGGAGGCCAACATCTGACACTCGAGGGGGTACGAGGAGGCAGAGCGGGAAGGGGAAGGGGTCGGTGACCGTGAGGCCAACAGTCCGCTTTCCCCTACTTGCATGCGACTTCGTCATATTCTGTGCTTTTTTTTTTTTTGTCGTGCTGTCTCATCTTAGTATTGTCAGGTAGTCACTGGTAGCATGCGTGCTGTAGTTGTTGTTGTTTTCTTCATTTTTTGTGTGTCTGATTCTGGTATGAGTAGAGCGTCTGTACAGTAGCGTTGGTTGTAGTAGAGTATCTCGCCACCGTTGACACGACTTGTAGAGTACTGTTTTTCTATTATTCGGTATGTGGCACTCGTGGCGTAGTAGTACGATACATTGTATTATGTTACATTTTTTATGTGTGATTTCAGTGACTGGTACTTCACGACTTTTCATGTCCATTACATTTTCCATGTATGATTTCAGTTACGAGTGCTGCACGTTGTGTGCACGACGTTTCATGTCCATTTTTGTCAGCGTGTGAATTTATATCTTTAATTGGAGTTCACATTTTTAATTTCATTTATCGCATTTGTTCTTATTCTTTTTGCCTGCAGAGTCGGGTGATTGTTGTCTATTTGTTTCTTTGTGAATTGTTGAATTAATTTATATTGATTGAGATACTAACTTTTAATGTTCGACCGTCATCCCCGTGTTCACGCGCACCCCTTCTTTGTCAAACATAGTAATCAGCAAAAGTTTCACTTGCAGGTGCAACGTGTCATTGTCAGAAACATATACCATCAACAAAGTATTCTGCAACACCAACATCATGTTGGTGTTGCAGATTATTTTGTTGATGGTACATGTTTATGACAATGACAGTGATATGACACATTGCACCTGCAAGTGAAACTTCACATTTGCCTATGTTTGACAAAGAAGGGGTGCGCGTGGACATGGGGGTG